TTGTGTTCAAGCCGGCAAAAGCTGCCGACAAACGAAAGAGCAACCTTTCGGGTTGAGGAAGAGGTGCTGAACTGCTCCTGCGAAGAGCAGAACGAGGGCAGGTGGTGGTAGAAATGGGTTTGGAGAAGAAAAGCGGTGATTATCGCTTTCCACGGGTGGGGAATCTGTTGTAGCCCCTCGTGAAACGGACTGGGGGGGGGCTGTTCTTCCGTTCTGAATCGGTGACTAGAAATAAACATCAGTAGTATTGTGCACAAAATCACTCAAAAGCTCTCCCCAAATTCCTTTCCTGTCGTCTAAGCACAGGAGGGGGCTGATATTTGCAAGTGTGGTCAGGCCAGGTGCCTGTCCCTTAAATGCTCCCTAAAGTATTATTTTGAAATAATCTTGATGCTGCTTCAAGGAAACTGCCTAGGTTTGTTACCCCTTAGTGTAAAGTAGACAAATTACATGGAAAGTAGGTGTAGTCAATTTGAAGGGGAAAAAGATGGGACCATTTAATCTTTACGGTGTGTTTCCATACCTGCTAACTTTCCCCTAACCCTGTAATGTCTGTACCCTGATTAGAGGATCCTGCTGTTGAAACAGCGGAGGAAGCTAAGGAACCAGCAGAGGCAGACATCAATGAACTCTGTAAAGACATGTTCAACAAAATGGCCACTTATTTAACAGGTGAACTGACAGGTAAGGCACTGCAATACTGACCTGCAAGTGAGTTTTTGTTTCTTTTCATTTTCTTTTAAAAAAATCTGTTGTATAGTTTGTCTAAACTATATCTATTTAGGTCATATCTAGCAAGACTGGCAGTTCAAGTCTGGCGTGTTGCTAGACTGCTAACAACACTGAGATTAGTCATATTAATGAAGTCCCAGAATAGCACGTTTTTCAAAAGAATTCGGTGTGATATCAGCAACGTAAAAAAAAGTTCTTTTTAGTCTTGCGGAAGCTTGTACATGGAAAAACAAACAAACAAAAGGGGTCTAGGTTAAGAAGGACTAGAAAAGAAGCACAACTGAGAGTGGAACATGTGCAGCTATTTTGTTTCTGAGTGAGAGCAAGGATCATACACGTTTTCCAACATTCATGCTTTAGAATAAAGTGCTGTGCAACATTAACTGGAGCAAAGTAAACTGCTCAACAAGTTAGTGGATTCCGTAGGCTCTAGTTTTGAAAAGACTCCACGGCACTACTGATTTGTGTGGACTTGGAGGGTATACGGTACAGATTACCAGTCTGGATTTGTGCTATCAGTTTTGTAAACGTAAGTGTTTAACTGACAGACTAAGAGTAGAAATGTGAGGAATTAGTCAATTTTTCTCTCTCAGAAAAAATTGCAAGTGAATAAGTATTCATCAGTCCAGTTGATTTTTACAATGCACAAAATGTCATCTCTCTTTTTGTAGAACATTATACCAACACCTGTATTACCATCTAAACTATTCTTTGTTACATTTGGCTGTTGGTTTGAAATCTCTTGTCCTCTTGAAGAGTCTGCACCTAATTCAAACCACATCAACTTTTAATTAAAATAAACTCTATTCTTTTTAAGCCACCAGTGAAGACTACAAACTCTTGGAAAACATGAATAAGCTGACTAGCCTGAAGTATCTAGAAATGAAAGATATTGCTATAAACATCAGTAGAAATCTGAAGGATTTAAATCAAAAATGTAAGTAAACCAAATAAGGTAGGGGTATAACGAACAGTACGCTTGTTTGGGAAATGAAACATCTGAGTGTCAGGTAGTTCACACTCCATTAGGTGCTGAAGGAAGGAAAACTGACTGAAATAGACATGCTGCTATACAATGCCAATCTTCTATATTTCTTTACAGCTATAGACTATGTAGACTAGCATAAGAGAAAAGACATCTGAATTTATGTCCTGGTTTACCCCAAATTTTGGATCTGATATGAAATAACGCTTCTTTTGATTCACATTGTATCGTTACTTGTGTTGAGTCTAGCCAGTACTCTTAAACATTTCGTACTTTCCTCGAACATGGCGATCAGTATCACCACTTGATTTTGGGGCAGGGTAAGGAAGGAGCTTTTAAATTGTTCTATCTGAAGAATGTAATGAGAAATTCTTGTGTTTCAAGTGTGAACTTTTTCTTGGAAGTGAATTACTGAGAACTGACAGATACGATTTTTCTGCTTTTTTAAGATGCTGCTCTTCAACCATATCTGGAACAAATCAACCTAATTGAGGAACAGGTTGCAGCTCTGGAGCAGGCAGCTTATAAATTGGATGCGTATTCCAAAAAACTTGGTAACTATTGTCCTCTACTGTTACTACCTAGCAGCATGGTCCCTTGCAAGGGGATTTAAAAAGACAAACTCCTCCTCTATTTAACAAGTCTGAGCTGCAGAGTTGCCTGTGCTGCTTTTGAGCAATGAACATTGTATGTGAAGTGGGAAGCGTTGGGAAAAGATTAATATATCAAGTTATATGGAGGTGGACCAGTACAGGTATTACTGAACTACGGCTTATTAGTGAATCTTGATTTCTCTTTTACAATATGCACTGACCCAAATTTTAAAAACGGATGTTTAATCCTGCAAACAGAGGGATTCATAAAGTTCCACCAGGCACTCAAGTCCCCTTGGCTTAAATTAATATTAGTTGTCTGGCTTAAGCACCTGGTCCTTAAGAATTGTATTATACAGTTGTATTTGCCTAAATGCTTTAGTAAAAAATGACCCTGAGTGATACTGTAAATTAACTTGAATTTTAAGATGTATAGCAGCTTACAGGATTCAAAGCTTTTACCTATCCAGTCCTAAAATACTGTTATTTTTCCTTCTGCAGAAGCCAAGTACAAAAAACTGGAGAAACGATGAAATTACAAGAGTCTTTAAGTTGGAGTTGGGCTATGAGTCAGACTGATTTCTGTTTAAGTTGCACAACAGCAATTCTGTATGTTGACAAGGATTTGGTTACAGCTAACATCAAGACTGGTAACTTTTTCTATCTATTGAATACAGTAGGCTGTATTCAGGCTTAAGGCTGAATAGTATTTTCCTCTTCTCAAGAGGTTCTGTTGCCTCAGTCATTCTGCAGTGAAAAGTAGAAGCCTGTCCCTAACTCATATGTTGATACTGGCTATCTGTGTGTTAGTCCTATGTCCCACATGAAATACTCTGTCTAAGAAAAGCCCTCCATAACCTATAAAGACATTTTCCCTTAGTAGCAGCAGGACCTAAACTTCATTTTTTCCTTCATTGAGCTCTGCGTTGAGAAGATACCCGGGCCTTTGGAGTTATGAGCATGGTATTGAAAACACTTCATTTTTGGTATCCACCTTTATCTGTTAGAAATAGAGAGACTATTATAAATTTACAATAAAACACCTTGCTGCATTTGTCTCTCTGGAATCTCAAATTCCTGTTGGAACGATTATGTAAGTTGTCTTTTTATTTTTTCCAAGGGTCTGTTAATAAAGACAAACTCCTTCCAGCTGCTGGAGATCATAGAAGAGAACATGTTTTTAACTCTGCGTCAAGTATTCCTGCAATTACATTCTTTGACTGTCTGGGCCTCAGGTGAAATTGCAAGAAGTATTGCTTTATCACATGCTCAGTGAACTTAGTAGATCTTTCTCTACTTTACCAATGAATTTTGATCCTAGTAGTTTTTGAAGAGGCATGCCCAGCACAAAAAGCTTCTTCTCTACCAGATTAACAGTGTTCCAAATTGCTAATTTAGCAGAGCCCTTCTTACTGAACAGGTACTCCTACTCCAAGTTTCTTTTTTCCGTACCTATTGACGCTGACTAGCTCAATCTGGCTTTTGAGTGAGTTGCAGCTGAGGATAGTACAAGTGCTGATGTAGGAAAGAAGTAGTTCAAACTTCCTACAGGCTGTTTAGAAGAATGTCTAGTCAGGTGCCAGTGTGGTAAAGATCATAATGCTGTCAGTCAGTGTACAGATACTGTAAATAGTCAAAATGGACGCTTTTCCCTAGTGCTATTTAAAAGCAGTGAAGCAGAGTTGCAGTTGAGGATAGTACAAGTGCTGATGTAGGAAAGAAGTAGTTCAAACTTCCTACAGGCTGTTTAGAAGAATGTCTAGTCAGGTGCCAGTGTGGTAAAGATCATAATGCTGTCAGTCAGTGTACAGCCACTGTAAATAGTCAAAATGGACGCTTTTCCCTAGTGCTATTTAAAAGCAGTGAAGCAGATGACCTTTGAAAGCCTTCACCATCACTTTAAAAATCCTAAATTTAAAATAGAAAATACTATTCTGTATGGCCTTGATGTAGGATTTGAGAAAGTGTTGAGTTCACTTTGAAGAAAGGCCTTTTTGGAATGAGCATCTTTAAAGAACGGGGTTTAAGTCTCCCAGAGGTATCCAGCCATTTGCATCTGTATTGCTTTTATCCATAGTTAGCTCACTGATGACTTTTCTACTTGTGAAAGCAAATTAGACATTTTAGTACTGTTATCAAAGCCACAGAGGTACCAACAGATGAGTTATCATTTCTGTGTTGGAGGAAATTATACCATGTAGAACAGCAGACTTTTAAAATCTGACAGATCGTCATCTTCTCAGGATTCATGGTGTGTTCGCAGTTCTGCTGGACAAGAGGATCTAGCCAGGCAGACCTAAAGTCTTTGTGCCTAGAGACTGGCATTTGAATGACAGCCTGAACAGTGGCCTGCTTGGTGATCTCTGATGCTGGGAAGTGGTACCACAAAGTGGTAGACAATCTAAAAGTCCTGTTTCTCCAGTGTTTCATGCATCTGTAGATTATACAAGAGCTAGACATGATTCAGACAGACTCAACAGTGTTTTTGATAGTACCATCCTTTGGCTTTGCCATTGTGAAGGAGAATCACAGATGTTTGGCTGCTGATGTAAAAGCTTGAGGGTGCTGCTCGGAGCTCCTCTGTTCCCTGGAAGAATGAGAATTTTCATTACAGCATACAGCACCTGCATGTGGCTGGGAGCTTAGTCCCTGATCCCCTGTAAGTCCCCTTCCTGGCCCCTACCCATCTCCAAGAACAGAAAAGTTGCTGATTTATATCAGGTTGGAAATGGTTCTGGATAGGTGGACATCATCTAGAGCTGACCAGCCACTGAAATGCTTACAAGGGCAGGTTGTTCTAGGTTTGAAACACCACCACCGATCTTCCAGCCTAGTGATCTCTCTAATTCCCAGCTCTTTCTGGGAAGATGGTGCTAGAGGCACAGAGCGGATGCTGGCACACAAAGGGATTGTTCTCCACTGCAGGGATGCAGCTGGCCCTGCACTCTGGCTAGGTGCAGGGCCAAGATGAAGGGGTGACAGAATTGTATCCTAAGGAACTACAATGGAGAGCTGGCCACCTGCTGTCTAGAGAATTGTGATCATCTCCATGTGATAAGAATAATATCAAGCCTTAAGTGCCAGTGACTTGTCCTATCGCATGGCAGCAAGCCAAATAAGTTCTGCTTATGGCAGATAGCCTGCAAATCAAGTATTGAACATAGAACGGAACACGGCCCAGACACGCTCCATGCTCTAATGGCAGCACACTGCCAATGTAGTGGCAAGTCCACTCCCTTATTGGATGTGGACCATATGCTCAGACCCTCAATGGGAGACAGACTCCACAGATCTAAGCCAGATACGGAACTGGATGTATGGCAGCCCTGCTCTGTCTTAAGATGAGTCCCAGTCACCTTCCCTTTTCCTTAACACATACTGTCCACGTTCCAGTTGGGATGCCACAACTCACAGTTCCATAGTAAGAAGGATTCACTGTCACTGGGATCATAACAGCAGCCTTGCTATGTAAGTTCCTGAAGTGGCCAAGAAAAACAGCACGGCTCTCCTCTCTGTTTTGTGTTTACATCCTCTAGCACTTCCAGCTGCCTTGGACCCAGTAGGGCATCTTTTCATCTTGAGACCATGGGGAGGCACATAATAGTGAAGATGTTTCAGGGCTGCCAGTCTTTCTTAATAGAAAAGAGGAGACAGTTATGTGCCTCACCCTTCCTAAGCATGGTTTAATGTACCGAGCTCACCCTGCAGCAGGAAGACTTTCCTTCCATAACGTGTGCCTGGAGCATGCTGTGTTGCCAAAGGCAGCTATGGGCATGACAGCAGCCCAGTAGGAAGTTCTCCTAACATGGTAGTTAGATATAAGGATTGTCAGAGTGTTTGGGCAGAAAGGGTTGCACTCAAGGATAGGCTAGTCCTAACTAAGCAAGAATACATTCTCAGGGGCACGAGGGCTAGAGTTTGTCCTCTGCTCAGCAGAGAACTGGAAATTTGTGATTAAGCAGATTGTGACTGTACAAAACACCACTCTGGAGTACACGCATACTAGCTGTAAGCCCTAATCACTTCTCAGGTCTCCGAAGACATGTCTGGAAGCAGAGGGTGCTGTCAGTGTCATGACCAAAATTGGAGTGGTGCCCTCTAAAACAGCATCCATGTAGCTGTTGTTTACAGGTATTGCTCCTCACCCCTCGAGGCCGAGGAGATCAAGGGGACTGAGTGACAGTGGATAGGTAAATAGGGTCACATGGAAGTAAAACCATTGTATCTCATTCCCTCTGTACTTACCTCACCTGGAGAATGCTCAGACTGCCTGGAGCTTCCTGGCCTGTCCCATCCCACCTCTTTGTAGTCAGAGGCCTGGTGCCTGGTTTGTATGTTCATAGCAAGGCAAAGAGCAGGCTCAAGAATAGGTTTAAATATACTCCAGTGACACTCCTATTTGGATTTGTTTTTGTAGAACCACTGGCTTAGCCATGTCTTGTTTTAATCACAGGTGCATTTGATAGTTGCTTTGATGAAGAGATCCACTCACCACATGCAACCCAGCATGCTGTTGGAAGGTCTAGGAATCTGTGCTATCGGGGCATAGAAAATTTCAAAGAAAAATAATATGGCGTTTCTCTGCTCATGGTCTTTCCTTGACAGGATTGCAGGAGGGCCACAAGAGGGCGATGTGTCAGCAGAAAAAAACTTCCACAAGATAAAGCAGTAAAGGCAAAGTGAAGACCAAATCTTGTTCCTGTTGAAAAAGTTGCTTTTCTACGTATGGAAAATACAATGCTGTTTTAAAACTACAAAGATGAAAACCTCCAGGAACTCTGAAGATGGAAATCCATCTAGCCATGCATTGTCAGCAAGCACTTAGTGTTTTCAGGTAAGAGAGCTAAGAAATAGCAAATTCCTTCACAAACTCTTGAGTATCCCACCTCCAGGAAGTAGAAATGGGAAGAGGAGCTTGTCCCACAAGTGACTTTTTATTGGGAGAAAATTTTAGAGACTGTCTACCTGGCTGGCTGGAGGATTGTGTGACAGCGGCGTCCCGATCAGGCCAAGAGCCGACAGCTGTGTTCCCAGTTCTGTCTCTGAGTAACTATTCCCCTCTCTGCCTGAGGGCCCTCTGTGTGACTGGTAGAATCCAAATCATGGCAAAGATGGCAGGTCCTTGGAGACTAGCACCACAGAAGAGACATAGCTAGGTGTGCGTGAACAGCATTGTACTGGGGAAATGTATAGTCCAAAAGCAGGGGCACAACTTGGTTGCTGCTCAAACATTTCACCTGGAGAGTCCGTGAGAAGTTCCAGAGGAGGTACAGGGGGAGACTAAATCTCTATCTCTTCTCTTCTGCAGCATTTCCTGGTGGAAAAGATAGTAAGAAAGTAGCGGGTGCTTGAAGGGAAGAACATGGAAGAGAACAGAGGAAAGGGAGGGCTGACAGATGAGAGTCAAGGGGCAAAGTACATCAAAGCGGTCTGTGCAACTGCTTTGGAGCTGGAGCAGTTCTTGAGGACTTGGACTGCAACTGCAAACCAGGGGGTGAAAATCAGCCTAGCAAATGCAGCTCTTCAAGCAGAAATAGAAGAGTTCAGTTCCAGAGGAAGATTTTTTCCCCGGCACCTCAAGACAGTTCTGCCCGGCTGCTCTAACAGGTAATTCTGAAGTCATCCAACTTTCAGAACAGTACTTTGTGGAGATGTCCACAGTCTTCAGAATGGGCTCTTAAATCATTAGTGGAAACTGCAACATGTCCAACAGCTGAAAAACAGCTCTTCTAGAATGGAGTATGCTTTTTAACCTGGAACTCTGTGTTCAATAGAAATGTTAAAAGATATCCAATGGGATGATAATCACAAGTGTATATGATGGCCTGAAGATAAATACATTGTTGTATTTGCAGCATCCCATCAGAGGACAAACATATAAGCAACAGTAATAGGCAGAAGACAAGCATGCTATGAAAGTATGACAGGGTTTGTTAATGCAAGGTTTGTTAACGATTAATGTTTGTCCCTGCTTTCTGATATTATAGTTATAGAACAAGGTTGATCTTAAAAAAGGTCACAAAGACTTAAAAATTAAGCAGTTCATCCAAGTTTGTTGGCAGCGAGTGATTTTTTCTAACCAGTATGTTTAATCCAGAGGATACGAGAGCAGCTATTGGTTACTTTTGCACTGTTGTTTTTACTGTCGGCT